TCCTGGCAAACCAATCCATCTTTCCATTCCCCACCTTACCCTCTCCCTTTCGGGAGCTGGCTTCAAAACCAACTCCCCATTTGGGGGACCATTACATCTGATAGGTGGGTGTTGTCTATCATTCAGCTCGGATATAGAATAGAATTCAACATTGTTCCACCATCGAGCCCTGTCCAATTTACGCCACCATCTTCGGTTCTGTGCAATGAGGTCTACCAACTTCTTCGTAAAGGTGCGATTCGACAACTTTCCCACACCGATGGGCTTCACGGATTCTATTCCCGATATTTTACGGTCCCCAGATGGGACGGTGGTCTTCGACCTATCCTGGATCTCAGGAATGTCAACAGATACATTAAACCAAAGAAGTTCCGGATGACCACCTTACAGAATATCCTTCCGTTGCTGAAAAAAGGGGATTGGTTCGCCTCATTGTACTTGAAGGATGCTTATTTTCATATCTCTATCCATCCTTCCCATTGATGCTTCCTGCGATTTACTGTTGGATCCAATATTTTCAAATTCAATGTGCTCCCGTTTGGTCTAGCTACGGCACCAAGAGTCTTTACAAAATGCACGGCTCCAATATGCGCCCACCTATGGCTTCAGGGTATACAAGTCTACCCCTACCTAGATGATTGGCTCATTGTGTCACAGACTAAGGCCAACCTCCTTGCGGCTGTCCATGCGACTTGTACTTTGTTTGATAACCTTGGACTATGCATTAATCTTAAGAAATTGTCACTTATCCCGACACAGGTCATCGATTTCATTGGGGCACGTATTGACTCCATGCTACAAAGAGCATTTCTTCCTCCATCCCGCGGAGCCATGCTGTGTGCCCACATCCATCGGATTCGACAACTAATGACAGTGCAGGCCGTCACCATACAAAGACTACTGGGGCACATGGCGGTCTCAGTGGCCATTGTGCCTTACGCAAGACTCAGACTTCGGCCGCTTCAATTGTTCTTCAACAGATCGTTTCACCCGCAACGGGACCTACAAACCAGGCTTCTTTGGATCCCATCCTCGGTCCTTCACTCCCTGATATGGTGGACTTTTACACGCAACCTGTCTACAGGCGTTCCGTTCCATCAGCCCCATCCAACTGTGACACTGTACACCGACACATCCCTCATCGGATGGAGTGTGGCATGTGCAGGACTTCGGGTCCAAGGAGCTTGGAACCAACAGGAAGTGGGGAGACACATCAATTTCCTCCAACTTCTGGCATTTTTCAACGCTCTCAAATCCTTCGAAACTGTTATACACAGGCAAGTTGTTCAGATTGCGTCCGACAACATGGCTGCTGTCTTCTACGTCAACAAGCAAGGCGGAACAAGGTCTCCGCTCTTGGCCCGATTGTCAATGCAGATCTGGGATTGGTGCACCCCACGGGACATAATGCTTTTGGCGGTGCACCTTGCAGGGACCGACAACATAGGAGCTGATACACTGAGCAGGCAGATGTCAACGACCCACGAGTGGGAGTTGGACCAGATGATTTGCACCGAACTATTCCAGTTGTGGGGATACCCGGACATAGACTTGTTCGCTACCCGAACAAACAGGATATGCGAACTGTTTTGCTCCAGAGTGGGCATCGGACAGAACTCGAGGGGAGAAGCCCTCATGATCGATTGGAGCAATGCTGTTTTTCTACGTGTTTCCTCCGATTCCCCTTCTGATGAAGGTGGTATCAAAGATTGTCCAGGACAATGCTACAGGGATTTTGATAGCCCCATGGTGGCCGAGGCAACCCTGGTTCACTGCTCTCCTCTTTCAGTCCAAAGGTGTTTTCTGTCGACTTCCACCGGTCCCTCACCTATTGACGCAGTGCAATGGAGCAATCCGACACCCAGACCTAGCCTCGCTCAAACTGACAGCATGGAGCATTCGCTAGATTCGGTCTCTCTATCGGTTCCGTTACCGTCTCGATTCACTGGATCCTCTCCTCAACTGCATACGCGACCGACTCCTCCTTCGGGATCAACAGTACCCGTCTCGGATTCGACGTTTTTACATCCTGATATCAGAGCGATTCTCGAATTTGCACCAAGACCTTCTACACGCCAGTCTTACTCAGCAAAATGGAAAAGATTTTCCTCCTTTGCCGACCGTCATTCCTTTTCTCTGCAATCAGCATCCATTGAGAACGTTTTACAATTTATGTTCGAACTTCACCATGTGGGACTTAAGCCTTCATCTATAAAGGTTTACACGGCTGCTATCTCACATTTCCGTGGTACCATACAAGGCTCAACGGTTTTTTCTCAACCTCTGATTCGTCGTCTTCTTAAAGGACTACAGAATCTACACCCGTCAATTCGCCTGGTCATGCTGACTTGGAGTCTTTCTGTTGTACTCCAAGCGCTACCGAAGCCACCCTTTGAACCTCTGGCGACGGTGGATCTACCGTCTTGTATCATGGAAAACTGCCTTCCTTGTTGTGGTTACTTCAGCCAGAAGGGCTAGTGAGCTTTGCGCTCTATGCATAGACCCACCATTTTTGAACTTCCACAAAGAAAAAGTGGTTCTTCAAATGGACTCAACATTTCTTCCTAAGGTGGCTACATCATTTCATTTGAATCAGGATATCACATTGCCTGCATTCTTTCCATCTCCATCAACTCTGATTGAGCGCTCTCTCCATACACTTAATGTTCGGCGCTGCCTTGCTTTTTACAGATCTCGTACAGAATCCTTTCGGAATTCTAACAGACTTTTCTTTAAATATGCTGATAATGACAAAGGTTCTCCAGTCTCATCTCAGCGATTATCAAAGTGCAGACCATTGTGTTGGCCTACCAGTTGGCTTGGATGGACTTACCTACCCTTCCAAGGGGCCATTCTACGCGAGCAGTAGCAACTTCGTCGGCTTTTGCGGCAGGTGTTCCACTTCAAGATATTCGCAGAGCCGCAACCTGGGCTGCTCCGTGTACTTTTGCCAAGCATTATCGGCTTGATGTGCGTGCCAGACAGGACTGTTGCTTTGGCAGAGCGGTGCTCTCTGCCATTCTTCAGTGATGACACCTCCCTCCTCTGAGTCTGTTAAGCTTGCTAATCACCCATATGTGTGATGCACAGAGGCCACGACGAAGAAAAGCAGGTTGCTTACCTGTAACTGATGTTCTTCGAGTGGCCATCTGTGCATTCACACAACCCACCTGCCGGCCCCGCATGGTGTTGGTGAGTGGACTTCTTCTTTTATATCGGTTTCATACTAATCTTACGGTACCGATGTGGCTTGCTGTGGTAATGTCATTCTCTACTAGGGGGCGAACATCAGTCTTCAAGACTGAGTAAAATGGCGGACACTCCGCTCTATTTATACTGTGGGGGGAGGGAGCAGAGTTTTTTCCCGCCAGAAACCATTAGCTTTCTAATCTTCTGGCCTAGGCACTGCGTAGGCGCAGCACCCATATGTGAGAATGCACAGATGGCCACTCGAAGAACTTCAGTTACAGGTAAGCAACCTGCTTTTAGATAATTTCCACACTGATACATTTCTCTGTCAGATTACAGCAACAGCAGCTCTGTGGCCATTTTGGCTTTGGCCAGTTACCAAGAGAAAAACAGTGACACTTTCATACTTCAGCAGAATTCTTCTTCTCATTTGTTAAACCATTTGCTCCTAGAAACTTACTGAATACAGTCTTTTTCTCAGTAAAGGACTATTATGGAACATGAATACTCATTGTGACTTCTGTTGTAATTGTTTTTGCTGTTTGTTCATATGCCTTCTACCATTTCTTGTTATGACATTCAAGTCGTCCCACTAAAATAGTGATAATTATGATTTGAAGTAAAATTTTGCACATCCATATATTTATGTGCATGTACATGTGCACATGTACACAAACACATGACCGAGGGTACAATTTAAACACTAAACTCAGAGGATTGAGGGTATCCTATGCAGGATAAAAGGAATGTGGAGGTATCTGTGCTCTTCCTGCAGAGCAGTTAGAGAGACCATTTTGGCATCTAGTTCAGTCCTTCAGAAAGAAAAGGAAGGAAGCTTGAATTGCTCCCAGGATAGATCACATTTTAGCAACAGCAGTTTCCCCACCCCCTGAGCCACTGACTGGAATAACCCCAGAAGTTCTTTCTGAGGTCGCTGCTATGACCTCAGAGAAGCAACAAGTTATGAAGGGGTATATGGCACAAATCATAAGGTTCCATTTTGCTGTCATGGAAATACCAGTTGATAGACATGTCTTCCCATTAATGTATCTCCTCTTTGGTTTTACAGCCATCTAACCAATTGGCCATCTTTTAGCAGAGAATTGGTTAAATTTATGTTGTATCTGTGAAGAAGGACTCTCCTGTTTTTCCAGAAACTACTATCAATCAGTGTAGTTTGGTGAACCCAAATTTGAATGTTATGAGAGAGAAAAATGCCGCTTTCAATCATATTTTCCCATACTATGCATCATTTTATAGACTTTAATTTTTCATTTACTCTTTCTTTCTAAACTAAAAAGAAATCACACTTTAAAGGAAGTTGTTGGCACCTCTAGATCATTCTATCTTTTTTTCTCTCTCTCCTTGCATATTTTTCAGGCTTGTGATAGCCTTTTTGAGATAGGAGTGAAAAGAAGTGTGAAAGGAAGCTACTCCAAATGTGGTTTCACCGCTGTCTAATATAAAGAAGTGATTATTTTTCCTTAATATGAAATTATGTTTGTTTTTCTAGTGTTTGTTTTCTTGTACATTGCCCTTGTTTGAGCAAGACTTCCACTTTCTTGCCTTTCATAGCTTCTTAACCCTGTTAAACATGCTGACATCCTCTCAGACTTCTATTTTCTCTTATATCTTTTGGATCATATTTCAGGAACTGGTGTTTTTGAGCCAAGTCTTTAAACTCATATTTACCTTCTCTATATATGTACATAAATAATATGTTTCATTTACGAATGTCACATAATCTTAATTGTAAGTAACAGATTATTTTAGTTGAAATGAACATAATTTCATTATTCTGTTTTCTGTAGATGATAACATGCTGCATGGACCAGTTTTTATTCAAGAACCAAGCAGTGTCATTTTTCCAGTGGATTCTGAGGAAAAGAAAGTCAAACTGAACTGTGAAGTTAGGGGAAATCCTAAGCCAACTATAAGGTTTGTTGCTCTGTTATACACTGTTTTGGGAAATATAGTGAAGCCGCAGAGAAAGGAGGCATGAAATCTTGATACTATAAACTTGAGTGGAAAGACCAGTAAAACCAAAAGCAGATCACCTGGGCTACATTCCAGAGAAGCAGCCATTTCAGTCTTTAATATCAGAAAAGCAAAGTCTTGTGATACCTTAAAGACCATCATATCTATAATCATAGGTGATTCAAAGGCTAGAGTTCACTTTATCAGGTGTCACTTAAATAGGAATAGAGGGTTACCACTTCATGCACTGCATAAACATTTATGCCATAATAAGTGTTTGTCTGTAAGATTCCACAATATTCTTGCAACTAATACATTAGATAAGCTACATTCCTAAAATGTGCTGGAATCTGCAATGTCTTGTCATGCTGTGCATATTTTGCTAATATAGTTCATTAAAAATAGGTTGTCAGTACAGACCATCTTGTCTTCAATTCCTTATAATCCTCAAAGTTACCTTGCTGTCTGAATTTACTCTACAAGCAAGAAAATTGGTAGTGTTGGCTTGGTTTAAATTTTTGGATCAGGATCTAATGTTAATGCAGAAGGTAACAAGCGCAGTTGCATGGATGTAAGTTTAACTATGTGATAGCCAAGAAATGGACACAGAAATGGGCACATTTTATTTTGATTATATTTAATAAATTTATTTTATTTGTATATCCCTCCGTAGCCAAACTCTTGAGGAAAGAAGGGATCAGAATGGAAGATTTAAAAAAGAAAGATGGAGAAAAGGGCCATAGAGTTGTAGGAGTCTGTGAAATATGCACAGAGAGCACAGCAGACAGTGATTTCTTAATCCATGTTAGTGACCGAGAAGAAAGTATATTAATGGAGTTTTATCATTTTAGTCATGTACGGAAATTCTGATTTCATGCTTGACGGGTAGTATAAAATGTCTCAATTGTTGTATTTTTCAAACTTATATATATGTGCTCATATATATAATATATGCACACATCCTTTAATATTAGCTAAATTCTGCTGTGACTGGCACTTTTGTACTGTAGGTGGAAGTTAAATGGAACCATTGTTGACATTGGTATGGATTATCGCTACAGCATGGTTGAAGGCAGCTTGTTGATCAATAATCCCAATAAAACTCAAGATGCTGGAACATACCAGTGCATAGCAACAAACTCATTTGGAACAATTGTTAGCCGAGAAGCTAAACTACAATTTGCATGTAAGTAGTAATGACACCATATAGTAGATATTGTTTTGTTATAACATAATGTTGAAAAACACCCTAAAAAACTGATGGCTTTCAAGAAATGGAATATACATTATTCCATTTAGGCTGTATCTTGATTTGTAGAATGAATTCCTCAATCTTTTTTGAAGTAAAAATACTTTGAAAGGATTGTTCTTGTCAAGAACTTAAGGAAGTGTGGCTCTGTTTTTAAGTTTTCCCTAGCACTGAAAAAGCAAGAAAGGAATGATAACATATAAAGGAAATTATTAGCATGATCAAGGTATAAATGTTCAGCTCCTTTTTAAATATGAAAACTATTCAAATTAACATGATCTACAAAATGCAAACCCCATGGCTGTTTTTATTTTTATATTTTTACATTATGAGAGATCTATTCAGAATTTTTTGTGCTGCTTTTGACCTTTGAAAGTACAGGTCACTTACACAAAGTCATATTATTTCTCTGAAAATCTTTGTAGGCCATTCCATTCTGAACTTTCTGCTGAAACTATAACATCATATTCTCATGCACCCAACACGTCTACTGTTCTATTACCTAATTATTATCAGTTATAGATAAGACTTACTTGTGGGTTTGAGTAGGAGTACTCCCATTATGCTGTTGAATTATTAGCTATTGTTTTTGTTATATATATTGATATGCTTCTTTTAAGAATACTCCTTAGAAGAAAGCTTTCAAAATACAAAGACAATAAAAATCACATAATAAAAATAAAGTCATAACAAATTTATACAAAACAGCTCAGCAAAAGACTGTGCCAACATTATCATCTATCTATCTATCTATCTATCTATCTATCTATTTAGAAAATTTTTATGCCGCCCCATTCGCCGAAGCCTCGGGGCGGCTCACAAAACATTAAAATATAATACATTAAATAATTAAAAAATATTACCATTACCATCCAGTGGGTGTCCTGTTTGTACCCTTTTCACTGTTTCTCTCCTTCTACCTTCACTTTGTCCAAATTATTTGTTGCATTTGTTGTGATGCTGATCTCAGTAAACCCAAAAATTAAAACATATACAAAACTGAAAGCCGATTTTTATGCCAGCCTTCTTTGAAAGATGATAGGTAGTAAAAAGTAATAGCCATGGAATGCCTAAGTCTTGTATTTCCCAGAATAATTTACAATATAGTATCAGCTTCTTATAGCCTAGTGTTGTTTGTTCCATGTGAAATGTGCTCTTGTGAAAGGTAGATAATGAACAGCTTCTTTGAGACTAATAACTTGAGATTCCAGTTTGTCAGGGAGATTGCCTCATAAATACTGCTTCCTCCTTTGGAATCCTCATGCTCTGTGGTATCCCAGATGTCACAAATCAAATAGCTGTGTTGTTCTGTAAACTAAATTCCAATGCATTATTATTCAAAGCACATTATCCAGTATAATGCCATCCTATTATGTGTGAAACTAACTTGCCTGACCACATATTCTAGCAGCATGGAAAATAATAAAATGTCAAATGCCATGACCAGAGCATTCGTACTGTTGTGGTCAAGAAATTATCTGCGGCACAACTTTTGCCTAATTCAGAGCCCTGCTTCTCACACCGACAGAGTAAAAGATGTGGGTTTGTTTGTTCCAGTTTGATGAATGTTCCAGTTTTCCCTTGGATTTCTCCAGAAAACAACTATTGCAGCCATTCCCCTCTTTCTGGTGGTACAATGGGGAACAGGATCCATCCTTGTACACTCCTCTTTCTGCCATTATGGCGAGCAGGGTACTTCTATGGCAAACATAAGGAAGTGAAGTGCTTGACTACCTGTTTACATTGAATAGTGAATGTATAACGCAAGGATCTTCTCTATCAAAAACACTGTGGTGCATACCAAATTAACATGATCAGGAAACAGAATTTTAAATATTGAACTTGACAGTTTTAGCAGTTTGTTTTTGTTTTTTCTATGATAGAAAGAAGTTTGAAGTTTGCCTCAATTTGTGAGCACAGTACATTAACATCTGTGTTCTGTTTAATTAATTGGTATGTCATTGTAGCCCAAGAACACATCTGGACTATAACAGAAACATTGATAGATGAGCAAGCATAAGCTTGGCTTGACTGATTTTTAATTAAGAATGTTGCTTTAATAAGCAAAGTTAGTTTCTTAGCCATGGAGTAGCAAATGGTGACTCTTACAACCAACACATTCTTTACACTTATCAGTGAAATGTCGCACACTTCATTCATACTTTGATTTGAAGCAGGATGAAAAGAAGAAAAATAGCATATCAGATTGTGTGTCGGGTTCTATTTTTTGTTTGTTTTGAGGTGATACATTCTACTCTTTAAAACAGTCAGCTTATGTTGTCTGACTGATAAGATTGCAAACTGAACTGTCTAGATATTGAAATATCCATGGTGGATTAAGTTTATTAAACAGGATTTGTTTCTAAAAAGCAAGTGTGCATCCATGTTAATATTGCATTCTTTTCAATCTGCCAGTCAAGTGCAGTATATGTAACTTCGATAGAATGAAATCAGCCTAAAGGACAGTTTGTGAAAGTCAGTTGGAGTCCGAACTGGTTTCTGAGCTCAAAGCCTCCTTGCTTGCAGAATTTCTGCCTTTTGCCCTTGTACAGAGAAATCTCAAACTACTTCCCATTCAAGCCATTTCAAATATCACTCAGGTTTCTAGTTCCTTGTTTTTAATAACGCTCTGTAGAATTTTATTTCTCTCTTTACAGTGCCATTTATCTTGAGTTTAACCTATCTTCCTCCAATACTCAGGGATTTCTTCACTGACTGTTTTTTGCACTCGTGGTCCCTGACCTACCTGAAGATCCAATCAGTCTCTCAAGCCTGGGAAAACAATATTGCTTTAGTGCTGGAGAGTCATTTTGTCCCACGAATCAGCACCTTTCACGGTTTTATCATTATTCTGCTGGGTGGTCTCCGCTCTGTTCCTTTTCATGCTTTACTTTAAATTCTGTGCCAAATTATAGCCATCCCAAGTTTAGAGACAAAGGCAAGAGGGTTACATTTTGAATACAAGGGCATCATTAAAAGATCTCTCTCTCCCCCTCTCAGTTAAGGACTAAATTATTCTTTGTGTAGCTTATTCCCTGCAGATTAAACTCTGAAGTAGCTATTTAAGCTCTTGAAGAGGTCAGAATGGGTCAGCAATTTATTCCTGAAATATGTATTTAGGTTACAAGCTAATTTTGATGAAAGTGCTAAGTATGTGCCCCCAAATACTTGCCATGTTATACATCGTTAACATTTAAAATTTTCTCATTGTTTCTTGACATATTAGTTGCCTTTTACATAGAATAAATTTTCAAAAAGTAAGGAATATGTTACATCACACTAAGATTAGTATTATCACACTAATAATATAAGAACTGATGATACTTTAAAAAGAAAAAACATTTTTGCTTGCAATGGCAAAGAACCCTAGTTCTAAACTCTATGCACCTTGCTTAGACATCCACATCCTAAACAAAATAATAACTCTGCATTTTCTTTTGGTAAGAATGGTTAGAATGATATTGCTATTCTTTTTCTGGGGAACTGATTTGATTTCTCAAAAAGACATAGACATATTTCATAAATAAAGGCTGCAATTCTGCCTACAGCAAGGCTGCTTTAAATTCCTTTAAAGTCAATTGGAGGTAAGCAACCTAACTGCATAGAGGACCACAAGCCAGAATTAACAAGGAACTAAGCCTAGATAGGAAATGCTGCGAGGAGCCTATATGCTGTTCACCTTATTCAGAAAGATGGTCCTTGGAGCTATGAATTATTAAGACATAACTGAGTAGCAAAATAAATAATTGATTTCATAAAGTGCTGTGTAGCCTTCTTTCCCTCTGATTTATTAAATTTGTCTCTTGTCCTACAGGCACCCATAGTGTTGGTCAGAACACTTTGATCCTTCTGCTCTCTGTTTGTGGCACATGATAAACCTGGATGCTTATAAGCTATGGTTCTTGAAACGTGGCTTAGCATTTCAATGCTGTTTTGGAGTGGTAGAGCCTGGCTTGCTAGGCTGCCCAGGGCTTATTCCAGTACATAGCAATGCACTTATTGGTGGATTGTAGTTGAGTTAATGGAGAGTCTGGTCTGCTTTGGTCATCCATGTTGCCCAGAGTAGCTACTGCTGTGTTCTGTCCAAACATCTCAACTGTCAGAGGAAGATGGCCCAATCCTTTGTGGCACTGTTGCAGCAGAGGCTGACTGGAGCCATACAAGCATGTGCTTTACTGTGTCTGGGGAATTAATCAATGGTTGATAGTGTTTGATTCTCTTAAAACTACGTAGGGTAGCCATAGGCTTTCAACAGCATTTCAGTAGGAATCATTTCATTTGTTTGTTTGTTTAAGGCATATTTACCGTGTCCTTTACCAAGGTCTCAGAACAGTGAGGATTTCGTGCCAAACTAAAGCAAAATTAAGATTTTGGAATGGATTTTAGGAACAGCTTATTGCAGGATTCATATGCTAGGTTCAAGTTACGTCAGGGCCCACCATACTTCCTAAGGGACCAGACTTCATTTATTGAACATGGGCAATGCTCATAAAACAGGCAGTGTGCTTCCTTTGTCACTCGGTAGACTTCTCTTAGACCTCATATACCTCGGATTAGGAAGAAAGCTTCAGAGATCAGACCATTTGGCTTCCAGAAATGTTTAATGCTCCTGCTTCTCTCAGTTTTGAAATTAAGCACTGGTGATCTGGAATGGATTTTCCTTCCATGTAGTTTATGGATAGTGCACATGCAGAAGCTTAAGATCAAGTCTAAGAGTTGAGCTTGAAAAGGCTACTTCATTTTCTTCTTAAAGAAAGTTGTGCTTTTGGCCTTTATTAGCTGCATTTGTCTCTGACAGAGCATTTCTGACATGAAAAAGTGATTTCTTGTTTGAGTACAAACCCCAGCTCCATCCTAGAAAATTACCACATGTGTTGGCTGTTCTACAATGGAGTTTAGCTTTAGACTATCAGTCTCTTTTCTTTTCTTTTCTTTTC